AGTACAAGTAATCTTGCCTGCATAGGTAGGTTAATAAACCAAGTTTGTTTGTTTTTTTAATATTGCTCATTATGCCTCACTGCAACCAGCATGAACATGATGATTACTCTTAAATACCTGGACCCGTGAAGATCCGGGGTAGAATAGGTCTTCAGCAACCCATCTGCTTGCCATAAAAAGGCGACTATCTTGTCGTAAGAGGCGACTAACGGGATCGGGTGGTCAGTTTCGCTGACTTGGTTGACACATGTCATCGGTTCCCAATTGCGCAGATCGATGCTCATGCTGTTGATCACTGGATTGTCTGGTCCAGACTCGATTATTTACAGACCGCCGCCATATAGCTGGAATATTGCTGAGTGCCGCGTAAAACTAAACTAACTCACTAACTTAAATACCTGAATGCAAAGTCGCCTCTGTCACCATATAGTGTGTTTGGCACAGGTTGGAGCTGGAAGAAATCCCTGCATACAATTACCTGCAGTCCCCCCAAACATCTGTTGGCTCTTCCCAGCCATTTGGCAAACTGCTTCTACTTCGCACAGCATCTTGTAGCTGAAACACCAAAATAATATACCTGGTAAGTAGAAAAATACATGACCCTGTGGGACCTGGTTTACACCACTGTGATCGTATTGATAAATAACTTCAATTGTACAAGCAAGTTAAGTGCCTTTTTATGTCTTTTCCCCATGAAAATAGACTTTGGGGTAAAAGTAATGAATTTGAGGGACAAAAAGGGTTGTATTTATAAGTTTCATTAAAGTCAGTCGCAGAAAAAGGTGTGAGTAAACAAACATCATGAGCATGCAAAGTAAAAATTCATACCTTAAGTAATTACATTAATACATGACAATATGTGCAAGGTCGTCAATGGCGAAGGGGTATGGCTCAAGCCCGATAGCGATGTATAAACATAGGTAAACCGATTATGGCTGTAAGGTTTATGAGTCTCGGAACGACTGGCGATCAGCACGTAGACAGGTGCCATCGAATCAGCGTGTTTTGGTGCGCGGTGTGAGCGTACACGATGCAATAAACAATACATTCGGTAAGTTTGCGGTACAAATTCTGAGCAGGAATTTTTGGCTCGGAATCAAAAATCATGATTTTCGACGTTCCGAAGGCCCTAGCACCCAAAGTACTGCTTCGATTTTTGTGATCTATGTCTCATTTGGTAGGTAAATCTATTGGCTTTTAATGCGTGTGTAGTTTAATAGGGTTGTATGCAGTGATCATTGTTGAATTCGCCCTGACACGAACTTGGTGTGTTGACCTCGTTACATCCCTTTCCTTTTATATAGTACTAAGACCCCGTCAGTGACAGTATATGCCTTGATGGCAGTTTTTAGCGTTACAAGCCCCTGTGATCATATCCACATTGCGTAGTACTTACAATGTCAGTCACTGGTTTGACAGGTTCCAACAAAATTATTTGTAGCCCCTTTCATATGGCTTCAATATTGCTAGGTGTTGTGTGAAATGACAAACAAATTTAAATTTAATGGGTTGGAAGGATTTGATGAAACACGGGCATGTGTATAGCTGAATGTATGATAAATCCTCTTCAAATTCATCTTCTTTCTCTTGTAAAATATGTTATAATGTTATGTAGGTTACATACAATACATGTATGGTATACTGCCATAAAGTATGTTGTAATGTTATGTAGGAGGTTACATACAACACATGTATGGTATACTGCCATACAATATGTTGTAATGTTATGTAGGAGGTTACATACAATACATGTATGGTATACTGCCATAAAGTATGCTGTAATGTTATGTAGGAGGTAACATACAACACATGTATGGTATACTGCCATAAAGTATGTTGTAATGTTATGTAGGAGGTAACATACAATACATGTATGGTATACTGCCATCAAGTATGTTGTAATATTATGTAGGAGGTAACATACAATACATGCATGGTATACTGCCGTAAAGTATGTTGTAATGTTATGTAAGAGGTTACATACAATACATGTATGGTATACTGGCATAAAGTATGTTGTAATGTTATGTAGGAGGTTACATACAATACATGTATGGTATACTGCCATAAAGTATGTTGTAATGTTATGTAGGAGGTTACATACAACACATGTATGGTATACTGCCATAAAGTATGTTGTAATGTTATGTAGGAGGTAACATACAATACATGTATGGTATACTGCCATCAAGTATGTTGTAATGTTATGTAGGAGGTTACATACAATACATGTATGGTATACTGCCATAAAGTATGTTGTAATGTTATGTAGGAGGTAACATACAATACATGTATGGTATACTGCCATAAAGTATGTTGTAATGTTATGTAGGAGGTTACATACAATACATGTATGGTATACTGCCATAAAGTATGTTGTAATGTTATGTAGGAGGTTACATACAATACATGTATGGTATACTGCCATAAAGTATGTTGTAATGTTATGTAGGAGGTTACATACAACACATGTATGGTATACTGCCATAAAGTATGTTGTAATGTTATGTAGGAGGTAACATACAACACATGTATGGTATACTGCCATAAAGAATGTTGTAATGTTATGTAGGAGGTTACATACAACACATGTATGGTATACTGCCATAAAGTATGTTGTAATGTTATGTAGGAGGTTACATACAATACATGTATGGTATACTGCCATAAAGTATGTTGTAATGTTATGTAAGAGGTTACATACAATACATGTATGGTATACTGCCATAAAGTATGTTGTAATGTTATGTAGGAGGTTACATACAATACATGTATGGTATACTGCCATAAAGTATGTTGTAATGTTATGTAGGAGGTTACATACAACACATGTATGGTATACTGCCATAAAGTATGTTGTAATGTTATGTAGGAGGTAACATACAACACATGTATGGTATACTGCCATAAAGTATGTTGTAATGTTATGTAGGAGGTTACATACAACACATGTATGGTATACTGCCATAAAGTATGTTGTAATGTTATGTAGGAGGTAACATACAACACATGTATGGTATACTGCCATAAAGTATGTTGTAATGTTATGTAGGAGGTTACATACAACACATGTATGGTATACTGCCATCAAGTATGTTGTAATGTTATGTAAGAGGTTACATACAATACATGTATGGTATACTGCCATCAAGTATGTTGTAATGTTATGTAGGAGGTTACATACAATACATGTATGGTATACTGCCATACACTATGTTGTAATGTTATGTAGGAGGTTACATACAATACATGTATGGTATACTGCCATCAAGTATGTTGTAATGTTATGTAGGAGGTTACATACAATACATGTATGGTATACTGCCATACACTATGTTGTAATGTTATGTAGGAGGTTACATACAACACATGTATGGTATACTGCCATAAAGTATGTTGTAATGTTATGTAAGAGGTTACATACAATACATGTATGGTATACTGCCATCAAGTATGTTGTAATGTTATGTAGGAGGTTACATACAATACATGTATGGTATACTGCCATACTGCCATACACTATGTTGTAATGTTATGTAGGAGGTTACATACAATACATGTATGGTATACTGCCATCAAGTATGTTGTAATGTTATGTAGGAGGCTACATACAATACATGTATGGTATACTGCCATAAAGTATGTTGTAATGTTATGTAGGAGGTTACATACAACACATGTATGGTATACTGCCATCAAGTATGTTGTAATGTTATGTAGGAGGTTACATACAACACATGTATGGTATACTGCCATAAAGTATGTTGTAATGTTATGTAGGAGGTTACATACAACACATGTATGGTATACTGCCATCAAGTATGTTGTAATGTTATGTAGGAGGTTACATACAATACATGTATGGTATACTGCCATACAATATGTAGCAACATAAAACTGAACAGAAAACATTTAACCTTAACATTGTAAATGCATTTTCTATTATTACTTTTCCAAAGTTGAAAAACTACAAATTAATGAAAACTTTTATTTTATGACAATTAAGGAAATTAGTACATAAACACACTGGTAACTGGTTTAGATAGGGAATTCACAAATATATGGGGCCATGGTAACATCATGTTATCTGTTTGGTAAATACATATTTATACTATACTGAGATGGCATGATTTAAACTCTCACATTATCTGCTTTTTTGGTTGCAAACAATGAGTTGATATTCCATTCTTTTGAGGTGGATAAGGAATGATTGCAATAACATAAGTTGTCCAGAAAGTAAGGGGATGTAACTCTAAATACTATTCTTCTGAGGTCACTGTGTAACCATTGGTAATGATGACCAAGTCATTCATTAATAGTTGTAAAGAAATATCAGCAGAAGCAGACGACATGCAGTGGTGGGCCATGGACTTGTTTGGGCTGAGTTTGGTGGTTTTTATTCTCCCTTAAACAGTACTTTAACATTCTACAAACACATTCTCATTGTGTATTGAGGTGACAATACATTTCAAGAAAACATAGGTTGTATTATTTTGGAACTTAGATCTCGTTTTGTCTACTTTTATGTGAGTGAATAAACCAACTATAACAGGCAGGTACAAGAGTCACCTCCCTTCACGCAGATAACAGTTAATTCTCAACACCTTTCAAAGTCATTTTTAACGCATTGCATGTGTATTTTGATACATTTTTTTACATGAAACACTTTTATAATGTTAGATCTACTACAGGCTCTCAGATTATTCATCATCAAGCAACATTACACATTCGTCTAGGATCCCTACCCCTACTACCATGCTGACTAGAATGCCTACACAAACTATGCTGTACAATTTTCATGTATTAACACCTATGTAGTTTGTCAGTTAATGGATAATTCTTTGTCAATAATTCGAATCAGATAGCCATGGGATAAAAATGTAAAATACTACAGTACTGGCTGTACTAAATTGACTCGAGGTTTGATTTACACACAATGTCATGGATCTCGAGTAGTGATACCATAGAACATATGCTATTGGAAGTATTTCAACCTTTATAATGGATAGGCTTAATAGGTTCTAATTGTTATTTGAAATTATTCTGTAATTTCAGAAGGCTCGACGGATGCCCAACATTCGAGAATGACAGGATTTGTTCATGTCATTTTGAATGTGGCTCAAAGGATGGTGATCCAATATTTTCCCCCCACAACAAAGGAAAACTGTTTCAGTTCAAGGATCCCAAACCCTAGAGGTATAATATTTTGCAATTAAGACATACATTTGCAATTTAAATCAGTAATCTATAATTAAATATGTATTTATACTTAGAGTATATATTTATGATAATTATATATTTTTCCTACAGAAAAAGGAGTGTGCCTTTGGAGTGCAGTGATGTACCGGCAATCCCACTGGCTCAGAGTCCAGATGTCCCAACTGAACCTGAACACAATGGAAGAACGGATGTAGTGAGTATTTTTCATGTCAGTATAAATCAATGTTGGTTTAGAAAACATATAGCACATTATACTTACTAATTTCATTATTTTGTACTTCTCTAGATCTTTGTGCTGAATTTATTCTTCCAATACCAATATTTGTACCCCAGGTGATAGAACATGGGGAAGCTGACTTCGTTAACGGCTGAAGTCCAAGACTTGAAGGCCACAATCAAGTCTCTGGAGCAGGAAATCCACTTTTTCTATCCTTTTCCACCTTTTCTATCAACGATATAAGTGACAGCGAAGAAAAGATTGGTTAACAAATAATAGATTTAAACAGCATAAACAAATGTATATAATAATTTTGTTTTACTTTCTCATTTATCGCTACCCCTTGGCCTTGACAACATTGAAAATAATGGGAACTTAAGTCACTTGTCATTCACCTGTACACATAAAAAAAACAAACACTTAAAATGTTGCGGTTGCATTGAACATACATTGTTGACTTAATTGTAGTGGCAACATAATATTATTAGCACACCTGAAAACCCTCCTCTAATAAGAATAATCCCTGCAAAATAAAACAATGCCCAGCAAAAACAACTTATAACTTAAATGGTAATTAATCTTGTCTAGTGATGTTTAATTGCAAATTTGACGTCTCTACTGACAAAGTCGTCTTCTGTTGTTTGTTCACGCGAAGTGATACGATGTTGTTTTCTTACCCCTGGAAAAAAGTTTGACGAAAGTGTAACTCATGGATAAGACGACCCCCTTCTACAGACTGCTTTTTTTGGTCCTCAAAATTCGGCTTATAGACGGTCATATACGGTAGGTATGTATACAATCTAAGTAAACCTCAAATATGTTTATGAGTGTTGGGGTGTGTAGAAAGGGCGAATGAGCGCATAAAGAATTTTGATATTCTAAACCACATTCCTGCAATTTATCGCCCTATCTCCTGTAAGATATTTCAGGTTTGCTGTTTTTTGATAAATTTACAAGCTCCATTACTCAAAGAAATAAATAAAGAGTGAACAAAAACAACTATCACCGACATTTAAAAGAAATGAAAGAACAAGAACACAAAAGATCAATCTGAAGTTTATTTTAATATATATTTGACAACTGCAAATATTTAAGTATTTTCATCAATGTATTCCTGAAATCTGTATAAATCAGCTATCTTTTCCATTGATATAGTTGAGGTGTTTCAACTGGACTCCTGCTGGTAACATTGCCTGGTTGCTTACCACTAGGGATGGGACTAGGAATCCCTGCTGCTAGCCCTAAAGCTGAGTACCTTACTTATCTAAAACTATCAGATAACAAGTTCGAAATGAATGACATTTTTAATTCAAAAACATCACAAAATCCATTATAATGAAGCATTTTGTATGATATATTAAGGACATGAATCATGCAAACAAGTGTCCTAAGTAAATAATATTAAATATAATTAAGTCAGTGAGAGTCTATGTGCTCATTACAGGAATCTTCACATATTGATATGGTACATATATTAAAATCACACCATAACTTAAGGTCATTACATATGTATGAAAAACCTAAGGATACATCTAATCATCATAATAACCCTTTTATATTTTCCAGAAATTTACATATAAAATAAAATACTTATGAGAATTCTGGAAACACATCATGAAATGCTTGGAGTAGATGGTGTGTAATCTCTTCCCTCCATATGTAATAACATATTTTGAATATTTACATACTCTAATTAGATGTAACATACTAAGAAGTGTATTTATATTTCAGGAACACTGTGGACAAGCTCAAGATACAATATATTAAATTTGCAAGAGATAGAAAGTGTTCATAGTGAAGTACTTCTCACGTCAAAATGTTGAAAGTATATTATTTTTACAATCTGTCCTGTACAGATACTAATGAAAATAACTTTTTGAACGTAATGAATGACTGATTTTCTCTCCAAACATTTGTACATTGTTATAGCAAATTTGTAAAATGAGATCACTTGTAAACAAATACATGGACTGTGGATAAGCATTGAGTACTATTTGTGGTTGGGCATCTGATAAAGATACAATGAAAGTTGAAATTTACGATGGACAAACAGTACAAGATTCAAATACAATCATACCCATTGGTTCAGACAAGTTTGTTTCATGATCAACTTACACCATGCCCAAAACAATTAACCATTCAATACAGGTGTTTGGGATCAACCAGTCTAAGTAAACTTCGGCTCAGTATTATTCGTTGCACTGCTATACTGAGTCTAACAAAACCTTGTAGAAGGTCGCGTCAGCTAACCTTTTGGATTGACCAATCAGATCACAGCTTACCAAATCGCGAAAGTTAACATTCGCACATACCATTTGAACCTTTACCTAAAAAACTTGAACGATTCTGAATGCTGTTTTCCGCACGATCGCTTCCGAGTGATACATGCAATGAGTAAACAGTCGCAGAAAATAGCGTTTTTGTCAATATTCAAGGATGGCTTCTTGCGAAAATATTAGTAAAATCTAAATATTTTTTATATTTGTATACTTATCCTGCACTACTTACTTCCTGCACTTATTGCTTACGGCTCGAAAAGCGTGGCTTGCCAGACGATGTCAAAAAGACGTAGAACTGCAATCACTTCCTGGTCTCGGCTGCTTACTCGTCTGCGCATGCGTCACCGGAAGGTGACGTCAGCCACCTCAGATTATTGCCAGAAATCCCACAGATGGCAAAAGTAAGTGGGGAGGTAGCTGATAGCACAGGGTGGGCCCTTATCATAAGTAGTGCAGGATAAGTATACAAATATAAAAAATATTTAGATTTTACTAAATTTTTAACTAATCCTGCACTACTTACTTCCTGCACTTTATCCGACAGGCTGGAAGGTGGGCGTGTCATCTGAGGGATTGCCTCGCTTACGTAATAGCAGCCAGCTCAATCCGTAATCCCGTGCTCAGGAAGCGTTGATAACGCGCCTATAACAGAGAGCGAATTAGCGAGTGACGATCAGGTAGCGGTAATTCGCAAATAAGACTGCGTCTTAAATGAAAAGAAACCACTAGTTTTAAAGCGGGCGAAGCTTAAGGAATGCAGTAAAAAAGCATGGACTTGAAAAAACAAGGATAACTCCTTAACTGACATACCTAGTTGTTTCTGAAGAAAAACAACTCATTCCCCACATGGTGGCCCGTGGGAAGGAAAACACAAGGCAGGAGGGTCACTTTCTTCGGGGAATGGCGAGTTGCTGAGCAACCACCAATGGTCCGAAGCTGTGGACATCGTTAACGTCCTTGACAGCCATGTCACGCAAATAATGACTGGCAAACACTGTGTCCGACCGCCAAAAACAACCTTGCATAATGGATGACACAGTGCAATTACTGTGAAGTGCCATAGTCGAAGCAAGTGCTCGAATCTCGTGGGGATGAGAGGATGTAGGAGGGTCCAGCCCAGCCGCTTTATATGCCTGAAGAATGGTTGTTCTTAACCATAAGGCAATTGTGTTTTTGCTGACATCTGACTGTGACGCCCGGGACAGGGGAAGAAATAACCGTTTCCTTGTACCACGGACGCCTTTGGTGCGATCAATGTAAGTTTTGAGCGCACGAATCGGACATAACAGTAATTCCGTATCGTCTTCAGAGCCAACAATAGATGATAATGGCGGGATGGAAAACTGTCGATCAGGTTGACCTGGTAGTTGATTTTTAGCGATGAAATCCCAACACAGACCTAAGTGCACAGAACCATGACGACGACGTTCAAACTTGATCCTAGTCACGTCAAGGGCGTGAACCTAACTCACTCTAGCTAACAGAAAAGCCGTCTTCCTGGATAAATCAGCGAGGGAAGCGTTATCAAGAGGTTCATAAGGTGCACCACGGAGATGGTCTAAAACAGTGTTGAGATTCCATGCCGGCGGACGAAACTTCAACTTCTGGTCTTCAAGTCGGAATGAGCGAAGCATGGCCTGTAATTCTGGGATTTTGGAAATCCTTCTGTCAGTGGGAATCGCTAAAACAGAGCTAATTGCCGCCAAATACGTGGCAATGGTGCCTCCCTTCAGACGCCTGGACGTTCGGAGATAAAGTAAGAAGTCTGCTATGAACTGAGGAGACACTTTCAGCGGATCCTGCTTCCTGGTAACACAAAAGCGTTCAAACGACTGCCACTTGTCGTCATACAAATGTCTAGTAGAAGTTCTGTGCACCGTCGCAATGGCTTTGGCTGCTCTAGCCGAAAAACCCTTAGCACTCAGTGCTTTCGTGCAAATGGTCCATGCGTGCAGATTGAATCGGTCTGGAGCCGGATGCGGAAGACGGCTGTGAGGGTGCAAGAGAACGTTCCTCCACGTGGGTAGAGGGAAGGGATCTCCTACCACTAGACTTTTTAGAACGGGAAACCAGTTCCTGGCCGGCCACCAAGGCGCGACCAAAATCAGACGTAGGCAAGTTGTCTCCTTGACTTTTGCGAGAACTTTGGGTAATAGAACTGGTGGCGGAAACGCATACGCGTGAAGTCCCTCCCACGATAGGCTGAGAGCATCCACCGCCCAAGCCGCTGGATCCGGGACTGGGGATACATACACTGGCAGTTGATGGTTTTGGCTGGTGGCAAACAGATCTATGTTTGGAGAACCCAGTGCGTGACTTAGGAGAGTGAAGGCCTCCTTGTGTAGCATCCACTCCGTAGAGCAACTCTGTCGGTCTCGAGAGCCGCCTGCTAGTATATTGCGGCACCTCGAATATGCCGAACTCTCAACAGAATGTGGAGATTGTCGACCAGTTGAAAGAGCCGAAAAGTCTGATCGAGGAGAAGCTGTGAGCGCAGTCGACCTCTTGCCTCGTGTATGTACCATACGACGGTGGTGTTGTCTGTGGCCACTAGAAGACAAGTTCCTCGTAGTCGATATGCCCAATGATGAATAGCGAGGATCAAGGCCTCCAACTCCAGACTGTTTATATGCCAGTTGTTGTGTTGACCCGACCACAGGCCGGAGGCTGTCGGTCGCGTAAGAGCGCCCCAACCCTGCAGGGAGGCGCCCACTTAACAGTTGGCAATCCGGAGGCTGCTCTGTCAAAGAGACTCCTCCTAAGACGCTCAATGGGCGAGTCCACCAAAGAAGATAGCGATGTAACTGAGGTGGAAGGCAAAACCGTTGATGAACGTCTGCCCGACGAATGTATGGTTGAAGAAAGCTGCTGCAGAGGACGGTTGAAGACGCCTCTGCTGGTAAGATCCTGTGCCGACGTCAACAATCCCAGAAGCGACTGGCACTCTCTGAGGGACACAGGTTGGGAGAGCGCACGTGGAATCAGAGACTGAATCTTGTCCCACCTGTCTCGAGGAATCTGAACTAGGTTTTTGTCCGTCTGGAAATGGCCTCCGATGAATGTCAGAGTGTGAGTCGGGACAAGCTCCGATTTGTCCAAGTTGACCAGCCACCCTAGTTGGCGCAAAAGACGAAGGGTGAAATCCCGTTGTTGTATAAGAAGTAGACGGTCTAACAGGTGCATAAGGCAATCGTCCAGGTACGGGTCGAAATTGATGCCCCTCAAATGAAGATACCGGGAAATAGGAGTTGTGATACGTGTGAACAACCACGGGGCCGTTGAAATTCCAAATGGGAGGACAGCCCATTGGAAATGTTGATTGTTGAAAATAAAGCGCAGGTACTTCCTGTCGCTGGGGCGTATTGGAACATGGAGGTATGCATCCTGTAGGACCAGGCTGATGAGGAAGTCGCTAACGCATACCATAGATTTGAGGTATTCGAGGGACATCATTCGAAGTCGCGGAGGACGCTCCAGGAAATTCTCGTTGAAATAGGACAGATTGTGATTCATCCTCATTTTCGCGGACCCTTTCTTCGGCACTAAGAATATTGGAGAATAAAACCCTGGTGTTATGATGGGATACGGGAGTAATTCGATGGCTCTTTTCTCCAACAAAATCGCTATGTTCTCCGCTAGAAGGTCGTGGTTGAACCTGAGAGTGATTGTGCCGGGCCCGGGAACAGTGTCAGAGGTGGATCGGAGAGGAGGGGAGCCTAAACCCCTGCCTCAATATATCGGTGACGTATGGATCCTCTAGGATGGACCAATTTTCCCAAAAGATCCCTATTCTCCCACCTACTGGTGTAGGATAAACTGGGACGACTGGAGGTGGGAGTGTCCAGTCGTGCGTGTCCCTCACTTCACTTGCCCCTACGCCCGTCGCCCTGGGCGGGAGCACGGCGACGTTGATATCCACCACTGTCTGATCTAGGCTTGGCACCACGTCCCCTGCCACGAGACGGCACTGAGTTTCTGGCACGCCGAACAGACGGTCGCCGAGGCTGGTAGGTGTTGGATGACGTGGAGGAAGGGCGTTGTCCCTTTTGAAACGCTTTCAAGGCAGTCTCCCCTTTGGCAAAATCACACACCTGCCGATAAACGTCATGAATGGCATCGTTAAACAGTGACGACGATGACCAGGGTTGGTGGAATAATTTCCACTGAAATTCCGAATCCCATGAAGAAAAGGAGAGGAAGCCTTGCCGACGAATTACGCACGCGTTGGCAAGCGCCGACCTAAGGTGCTCACGCAGGTCAGTGATCACTTTGCCCTGCCATAGCATCATAGTTGTGAGATGATCCAGTCGATCCGGATTTATTTCCTTAAGATCCTGAGTGATGGCATCAGTCGCTGACGCCAATGCCGATATAGGGCGGAGCATACGCTTAAGCTCTAAGTCCAAAGCCGCGACCCTTGTATCCTGAACTTTATAGGAGGAGACAGAGGAAGAGCCTGTCACACGTTTCATTTCCTCATCCACCTTAGTCACTGTCTGGGCAAAGTCCAAGCCATGAATAGGATAGTCATCACGCCGTACTCTAGGCGCTTTAATAGTTGGGTTGAGAGACATCCCCGCGAAATCTTCATCAAGGGTAGAGAGAATCTCTCTGACCGCCTCATGTGTTGGCAACATTAAGGAAGGCGAGTCCCAAATAGTAAGGGACTTTGCAACATCAGGTCCCGGTGAAGGGCCTGAGGCTATTAAACGATCAGCAATCCAGTCAAACACGTGATCAAAGCCAAGGTGATTAGAGCCCATCTCTTCCTCATAGTCTGGGGCAAAGTCTCTTTCAGAGGACAGTGAACGAAACGGCAAAGGGGGACGGCTACGTGCAGACGACGCCTTACTCTGAGGTCTCGACCTATGTTCGCCTGCCGAAGACGTGGACGCAACGGGAGACGTTGGCGTAGGCACAGGAGCAGACACAGTCGACAGGATAGGCACCAATGCTGGAGGAGGCAGAGGTGCCGTAATCATCGGAGGCGGCAAAGGTGGCAAAGGCGCTGGAGGCGCCGTAGTGGGAAGAGGCGCCGATGTTGCTGGTGGCATAAACGGCATAGGCGCTGATGTACCGGCTTGACCTGATAGTAAAGTCAAGAGAGTGCTGAGCCTGGACACATCAAACTGCTGGTGGCCGTATGGCGTCTGCATCATAGACGCCTGAGGTATTGGAAACCCCGTAGGTGGTTGATACGCATAAGGCGCCTGCCCCGGGAACACTGGCTGGGGTGTCTGACACGGCGCAAACTGCTGGCCCATCGGTCGTTGTGGAGACAACATTGGCAACAGCGTAGCACTGTAAAAAATAGTGTTAGGCATTAACGCGTTAATATGTTAAATATTTAACACCTCCGTTTATACGGAAACCTCAGGTGTTGATTTGCCATCGCCTTGATGTTAATCATATAACACAGGCGTTAATGTGTGGTAGCCTATGTACATCTTCAAACAATGTCAATGCACAGCGATGAGTACGATAGATCTTGTTGTTAATGAAAATGTGTATCATATTAGATATGGTAATGTGTTCGAAATATTTAAAAATAACTAATCTTACCTCAGACATTTTGGTTAAATGTGCTGTACAGCTGGAAAGTTGGTCTAAAGTTATTGCCCCTCTAACTAATCTAATTGAAATAACATTGGGCTAAATGGAATAAGATGTCGTACTCCTTGTTTTACACATACACGTAATATTACTTGCATACAAGTACGACTTACGTAATATTATTAACATCAGTGTTCATTTATTTACACCAGTGTTAATATATCTCTCTTCTTTATTAACATTATAGTGTTAATCTGTCAACGCAAGCGTGCCTCGATACATTTTGGCGCCAATGAATGGTGATCGAGGCAATCGCTGCATCTCTACCGGCCTCATATTACATGATACCTAGACATTCTTTAGATATCTTCAAATGGATGTCAGCATGTTCAAAACGCAGTGATTTCAATGCGAATATCGTCTGTCAACTCGCGCGATCGTAGCCTAAAGACGTAAACGCTTTGATGAGGCAATAAGTTATTTTTAGAATGTGGCGTGCCAGTTCGCTAAAAAAGTAGGGAAAAGTGGTAACCCACACACGGGATATATTAGTATCATTTTCATTATTTCCATGAAAAAATAGGTATCACTTATTGAGACAGGTCATTATGTATGTAACATGACATTGTGACAAATGAACCAAGGGAGGTAACTCTACGGCAACAGTGCCGTCATCTTCCAAAAGTGCCGTCAAACGTCATCTACGGGGTTTACACATTCCACTGCACGATCCTCGCCATTTTTAGAAGACTGGGCAAGCTGACGTTGTCATTATTCTCCCCAGGTAAGCGCTATGCGAAAATATAGTACACACATTGATGACATTGCGAAGATAATGTTCACATATTAATGTTTACATGTTGTATTGATGCTGGAAGTCTAAGATCATGTGTAAACAGTGAGTCATAACCTAGACTGGGCAACCACATAGTCAAATGGGTGGTGTACGTTTATCTAAAACATCTGAATCAGTGCAACTCCCAGTCAGGTAAACAAAACAATGTTATGAACTTATCCTACTTGGAACTTCAGGTGAGTATTTCAACTCAAATATTTATTGTATCATTGTAGATTTAAATCGAGTATATTGTTCACTGGGAAAATGTAATTCAATATTCTTGACAGGAACCGAGAAATTGACCTGTCTGACTTTCTGGAATTATGATCTACAAACAATAAGATGAGAGAAATAAATACATTCGAACATCATTACATTTCCATTATGGTTCTGACCTAACCTAAATGTGGTCTTCAGGTTCCCACTTACTTCCACATTAAGTGACATGATACTTTCATTTTGTTTCAGCAGATCTCTCAAGCCGCAGTCTACTGTCTGGGCTGCCAACGCCAGACAGGATCCCCCTTCCTGATCTTGCACCTACTACGATTGCAGCCCTTCAAGCAGGTGAAAGGAGCAGCCAGATTTTTAACTCTGTATTGAAGCAGTGTGAAACAGTTTACACAACTGTTTATCCATCAATGTCATCTTCACCATACTATCAATCAATCGTCAGGAGGATGGTGGCAAAATATCCTTCATTGGCCTATGCACATGGCAAGACACTTTGGGTAAGTTTGAGTTGGTTTCAGTTTATATCTCTTATTCAGTGATGTAGTGTCAAAGTGCATACATACTGATAGTTCACATATCCCAAGTACTCGACTTTTACCAATTTCAACATATATGGCTCTTGTATTACAGAACTTGATATTCTGTGATTCTTTTTGTTTTATCACAGAGTAATTATTTTCCGATAATGTTTTTGGTTGAACTGCATATGATTTAGAATTAGGTACTCTTCTGTTAGATTTCAGTAAGAGCTTGTGATTTAAAAGCACTCTTGTCTGAATGTTCTTTTCCTAAATAAATGCATGAGACTCAATACCCCCCAATTTGTGAATTCGTATAAAGGTAAAGTCAATATTATCTGTTTGCTATAACCAAGAAACACACTCCTTCCTTCTAATCGGAGGTTAAAAACAAACTCTCCTATTGTGTCTTTTCAGAGCTTTTTTGTGTCCAAATTGAGTCAGCGATGCCGCACCAATAGATTTCAAAACAATGCAAAATCAACAAGACCTGCGCCTAAGGATTCTGAAGATGCACAACCTCAGAAGTTGTTCAAGATGGCTAATAAATCATCAGGTGTGACATCAGAGAAAGATTTTGCATCCCATCTTGATGAAATAAAGAAGGAATGGGAAGGAAAGCAATCAATTACTCATCTGCAAACTCTACTAAAACAGACAAGACAATTCCGCAAAGAGTGGCAAACCACCTTGAAGCATGGGAAGATTGAGCCCATTTTAGAAAAGTTCCCTTGTTTTGAGGAAGGATGCTTTGTAAGTATAAATCATTTGAGCTTATTCAACAGCAAATTTTTGTTTCAAATTTAGTTTCCCTAAAGTACTACCATGGACATCTTCATGTGTCCTTAAACCCTATTTATTATATACGGACATTACAGGTGTACAAAAGTACTTGTACAGTGTTAGCACATTAGTTGATTTATGGTCATTGTTGTTCTAGTGTTAATCTTATATTGAACAAGCAGGCAAGCCCTGTTGCATGTCTTTGTGCCTCTTAATCATTAAATACATTCTAACATACTGTTTCAGTTGGTGTATGAATTCTTTTGCCAACGCAGTGATGATCCAGAGGAAGCGAGGGAAGAAATTGCCAGAAATATGAAATGGATAATGCACACTGTCGTATCTAAAAAAACTGCACCTGAGGCATGTATTAATGGCTCCAGAAAACTCAAGATGTATATTTTTTTTCAATTTCTTGTTACAAGTTGCTTGTCATATGGCTTATATTATTTAATATCATAATTTAATATGTTTCTATTTAGATATGGTGAACTATCAAAATACTTAACTAATTTCACTAACCCTCTGTGATACCTTAATATGTTAATTAATATTGATTTGATATGGTTATTGTTTCAAACTGGGTTAACATGTAATTGGAAATTTTTATTTCAATAATTATTGTTTCAAATTTTCAGGGTACTGATGCTGAAAAAAGCATCCAACTGTTCCGGGATTTGTAGAAGCTTGTTTCCAAGCAAAGGGCAAGGGTTTGAAGTCAAAGACCTGCATTACCATAGTCAATGTAAGATTTTTTTGAAAATGATGTTCTACTGTAAGTATTGTTACACTTGAAAACTGGTTTACTTCATTCCTGAAGTAAGTGCTTATGATCAGCTTTATGACAAATGGAAATGCATTAGACTGCAAGGACAGGTGATACCTTTATGATAAAGATATATTTAAGATATTTTTATTTGCAAATAGCAGTATAGTTAAGAATAGATGTTTCATTTACTTAATGCTGTTGTGAGATCAACTTGTAAACTGACAATATTCAGCCGTAACAAAAAATGTTATTTTATGTTAACAGGATGTGAAGAGTGTGGAAACAGTTCCTCAAAAACATCTGCACAGCCAAGTGGAAGAGGCTCCTCATCTTGTGGTCTTCCTTGACAGCTCAAAACACATCCTATGCCAGTACATTGTGGAAGAGGCTCCTCATCTTGTGGTCTTTCTTGACAGCTCAAAACACATCCTATGCCAGTACATTGTGGGAGAGGCTCTCATCTTGTGGTCTTACTGACAGCTCAAAACACATCCTATGCCAGTACATTGTGGAAGAGGCTCCTCATCTTGTGGTCTTCCTTGACAGCTCAAAACACATCCTATGCCAGTACATTGTGGAAGAGGCTCCTCATCTTGTGGTCTTCCTTGACAGCTCAAAACACATCCTATGCCAGTACATTGTGGAAGAGGCTCCTCATCTTGTGGTCTTCCTTGACAGCTCAAAACACATCCTATGCCAGTACATTGTGGAAGAGGCTCCTCATCTTGTGGTCTTCCTTGACAGCTCAAAACACATCCTATGCCAATTCATTGTAGGAGACAATGTAAAGATTTTTCTTCAAACACAGTCATTGTTTGATGCAGTGATCAGTCTCCTTGGGAGTTACTATGTTTTGATTTGGAGTACCCCCTGCATATTGCCAGGTTCTTGGTCTGCTACAGCACTGGGTTGTATCTGACATATTTACTGGATCAAGGACATCCAATTGGATAAAGTTCAGTGATGAACTGACAAGATCCAAAGATAAACACTGAGATATTAGAATGTTTCCCAATCAAGCTTTGAACTTTCAAAAAATCTTTTGGTAGTAATGCAGCAATGTATACCATTCTTTTATCCAATGGCATGATATTTCTCTAATAATATGTTAAAACAAAAGGTAAAAAAGTCAGTTATACCAGGGAACATCCCAAGGAGACCTTTGTGAAAGGAAACAGACTGATTCTTCCTTTAGTTTTCATTACAATGATGTTGTCTATTTCAAATTTATGCAAACTGCTGATATTCTAAAGAGAAAGATTATTATACAAATTATGAAAGCCAAACTTTTTCAAAGACCATTCATAGTACCTATTGTTCATTCTGTTAAGGCAGACAGAAGTGTTCTTCCTGTTCAAAAGAATTGAATTTCATTTATTGTGCCAAATTGAACTAAACTTCGACCACATCGTCTGTTCTCAATAAACATTATCTTGAACATTAGCCATTGTGACATGATGATCAAATATATAATGATCTTATATATACCCCATAGGGAGTTGTTTTAAGTGTAATCCATTATATTACCCTGCAATCAAAAAAGTAAACTTTCGTTCACTCAAGACAAGATTACAATTGTCTGATTTGAACTCTCGCACACTTCAGGAATTTCTGAATTTCGCTCACCTAAGATTAGGAGATGTCCTCCATAATCCCTCATTGTCTAAGGAATAGCACGCTTCATTGCTTTGCCTACCTTAGACAATACCTGATAATTCAGGGAAGTACTTTGCCTATGACAGAGTACAGATTATCCTATTGTGCCAACACATATATTTGGTACTCATTTGTTTTATTTCTTCACCAAGGTGATTTTGATAACCATCATTAGTGGACCATTAGTTTAGTGATATTATTGTTTGAATGTAGAGGTATGTTGCTTCTATTGTTTACTTTTATACCTGTTTAATGCATAGGATAGTCAAAAAACCTCTAAAATTTATTTTTGACATTTTCTTTTCTTTTCATAAGTGGGGGAAAATACTGTTATTTTGATACTATTCTAAAAATGCAGTTTTGAAGAATTACTAATGATCTGCCTGGGAACATGTGTCCTGATATGACCATGAAGTTTGAACTTTTTTATGCTCTAATGCTCAAATGGAGAAAGAGAATAGTTTAATTTCAAGCTTTATCAGCGTTTAAAACTCAATTTTATTTGGCACTGTCTACCTTGTAATGTATAACGATGGCTTTAAACAAAGCAGTAGTTTCACTAGTCCTTGGGCTACCTGTATTATTTGACAATTTGGACTGCGCTATAGGACTAGTGCCAATTTTGATCCTATATTCTCAAAAAGTGAAAGCACCATAGTATATTTCTGAAGGTGATGCCTACACTGTGCAGCTACTTTAGGTTACAAATAGCAATATTGTTTATATGTGTTGTCAGTGTTGCCCTTATATTGTTCATTGTCTGATAGTTGCAATATGTATTGCAATGTATCAGTTCTTTTCATTAATTAATGTATATATGCATACCATTTTGATACGGTCCCAGCCGTGGAAGGAATGATTATCCTCAAAATACATGCCATTATCCATGTTCTGTTAAAATTCAGTCAAGCGTTCACCATTCTGTTCCTCAAGACTAAAGGATTAACAGTATTACCGGGTTATTTTTGCATGTGCCCTAAATAAATATGCAGTATTGTGAAGGATTCTGTGGACTCCTCGTATCTGCCTATGTGCATTGAATGTAACAGTTTGCTCAATTTTTATGAGGATTTGATTTTTTATCCGATGAATAAATTCAATTGAAATTGTGATTGCTGCTTTAATTTATTTGGTTGATTACTATTAGTTGTATTATATCGAACCCTGAAACTGTACTAAGTCCTTTTTGCTTTCATATTGATTACACCATAATGAATGTGAAGATAAATCTTTTGTCACCATGTCTTTTTTCACTTGGGAAATTATCACATTCAGTGTAATATCAAGGAGATTAATCAAGTTTCAGGGTTTTCAGCAATAGCGGAACTGCATGTCACAATATCTGAAGACAACAGGAATTATTCTAGAGTTAACCATTGATGAAAGTTAATACTTGGATATACATTTCAGCCCACTTGGATGTACATTTCAGCCCAACTTTCTCAAAGAAGTAATGTGTGGATCACATTTCTTTGTTACTTTACAATTGTGTTAAATTATTAACACTTACATCCTTATAAACATGTTAATGTGTGAAAAAGTGTTACCAGCAAGCGTTATCAAATAAACATGTTAATGTGTTAATCTTGTAAACACTTTAACATGTTATTAAATTAACACTAGTGTTAAACAGTATTAACACTTTAACATGTTAATTTACTGTTACCAAGATAGTGTTAATAATAGTGTTAATTCAGTAACACTTGTTTTACAGTGCAGCGCAGACGAGTAAGCAGCCGAGACCAGGAAGTGATTGCAGTTCTACGTCTTTTTGACATCGTCTGGCAAGCCACGCTTTTCGAGCCGTAAGCAATAAGTGCAGGAAGTAAGTAGTGAAGGATTAGTTAAAATTAAGCAAATAGTAACCATATCATTAGAAACCCATAAGCGTATATACTGCAGGTCAAATATCTGTGTTTTATGCGGATTTTCGTTTGTTGATAGATCAGTGTCAGCGACCAGGGAAGAGAACATCCCAAAACCGTTTTGTAAGTCCCACCGAACCCTAACAAGTAGTCGTTGTCTGAGTGGTTAAATCTGTTCGGCCGTCTCACGTTTGATTGGACGGTCATGGGTCGCTCAAAGGTTATCTGACGCGACCTTCTACTAGGTTTTGTTAGACTCAGTATAGCAGTGCAACGAATAATACTGAGCCTAAGTTTACTTAGACAGGGGAACAACCTACCCCTGGGGTATCCAATAACTGTCATGGTGTGTCATGTATCCGCAACTCATGCTCCTTGCATGAAGCCCATGGGTGGTTAACCCGAAACAAAAATGTGTTAGGATAATAATTAAGGGCATTGTTTAAGTTGATACTGAGACAAAATAACTTGAAGTTTACAACAAATCATCAATTGCACACTAAAAAGAACTTAGTCTCTTTTTCAAAATGCTAGCATTGTTGGCAGCATTCACAATATCTTCAGGCCCGTGAAGATCCGGGGTAGAATAGGTCTTCCGCAACCCACGCTTGCCACAAAAGGCGACTATGCTTGTCGTAAGAAGCGACTAACGGGATCGGGTGGTCAGGCTCGCTGACTTGGTTGACACATGTAATCGGTTCCCAATTGCGCAGATCGATGCTCATGCTGTTGATCACTGGATTGTCCGGTCCAGACTCGATTATTTACAGACAGACGCCATATAGCTGGAATATTGCCGAGTGTGGCGTAAAACTAAAGTCACTCACAATATCTCCATATCTCTGTGGCCATGCTGAAATAAAAAGAAATTTATAATTATAACTTAATGTAATCATGGGAGATTATTTAATCATGTAACAAAGTTCATCATGTTTATAAGACAAACCATGAAGAATTGTTTCAGAAGGCATAAAGTAAGTAAACATAAAAAAATATTAGTCTTTTATAAGTCAGAAAATCCAACAGTAATCAACACGCTTAAAAAAGGCTACCCATCTACTGCAAAACGTTTCTTATAAACAAATGATTGTCAGTTAGTAAAGCATGATAAGACAATAATAGGCTACTATGTATATACAAGGCACTGGAGTGTTTGAAGTGTAATGAAGGCTACAATAAAAAATATTTGGATAAAAAAATAATTAGATTGTATTTTCATGAAACTCTTTAAACATACTTCAATTACAAATGACACAAACAGTCCACTGGTGATCCAGAGCCGATCCTTGGGGTGCTGATACCTTGTTTCAGGATAGCCTTGATCCTTCTTCATATCCTCTGCAGTCACTTGGTCTTCTGTTGGCTAGCTACCCACATTAAGATAATATGATTGGAAAGTACTTGTTATGATAGAAATCTATCAGCTTTGATATGTTAGAAGCCCATTCTGGATCCCGGTATATGAGAAGTCCACCGGGTGTCCAAATGAGGTGGTCACAGCATGTCTTCCCAATGATGTACAGTTGGCCTTGGATCTGATAGTAGTATTCATGGCCATTTGGCATGGCAATTCTCCCATCAGTTCTGACTGCAAAGCAATATCATTTCAATAAGTAACATGCCTTTTCAATAACAGTATCTTGAGGGTATTTTTATACTATTTTCCAATTACTTAAAAAAAACTTTGATGGACTTGTTTTGGGCATGAAATTTGACATATTTTACACCAATTGGTAATACACTCAAGAGGTATTTGTAATTTCACAGTACTAAAAAAACTTCTGTTAATACCTAAGCAAAAATTCTTTTGACCAATGGCATCCAACTGTGGCTTGTCTCTGGCAGAAAATGAACATTTAACTTCGATGATGTCTGGTGGTGGTGTTGCAGACTGTGGAATTGGGGTAACCACAATTCCATCTGGTGAAGCGCCGAGAATTCCTGATTCGTGAAGCCATATGCCTACAACAATGCATGTAACATAACAAAAAATGCAGCAACCAAATTGTTTCCCATTACACTTTGTTTTTCATGTTTTAAAAGGCAACAATATCACACCACACATCTCTACAAAGTATATAATGCATTTCTTTCAATTATACTATCAATCCCCATGGAAGCTACCATATAATTATTCAAATTAAAATTACGTATTTAGATTACAATATTACATTAAAAAGTTCGAACATTATTTCATGTGAACACCATAGAATTATGTCCTTTTGTCCCTTGGAGCTCTCTTTATGAATATCGTAAAATTCAACTTGTGATTGAAACCAGTTGTGACAGTTTTCTTGTATATCTACCTACCCGTTTCTTCAACCTTAGCCCCAGGTTTACGATACTGGTCAATAGCGTTCCTTTCATGGTTGATCCCCCATGCAATTGAGTCCTTCTCCAAGTTGTAGGGGGAACTGAGGCGTTTCCAAAATGAAGGTCACTCTGGTGGGTAGCTGAAAAATTAAGATGACTCTTGTACAACTAAAATGTATCAACTTGATAAATGCAATGCTCCTTTCATGTTTATCACTTCACAAATGTATAGTATGACCAGATATTATTGAGAATTTTAGGAATATGTTTAATTGGATTTCTAGTATAAACAACCTTGACCAGCTATCAAGTGCTTGGTTTTATTCAAGAGAGACAACTCCGTTAATCCTTTTTCATTAGTTTGTGAATAGTTTCAGTGATCCTCAGTATGGATGATTTAGAGAAGAGGAAGTTGATTTTAGAGTATTATAACAAGGACATCAGATCAGCTAAAGTGATGTCAGGTAGAACAGGCATCCCTTTGTCCACTGTTTATTGTGTTTTGAAAAATATTGCAAATGGATATGGCATTGAGCACCAGGTAGGCCCAGAAAAATTGACTGTCGGTGACAGGAGGCGGCTTGGTATTCTTGTTTCTAAAAACAAACGAAGGAGTTTAGAAAACTTAAGGCTTGATATGATTGATAGAGGAACTGTGGCTGTCTGTAAGGAGACAATTAGAACTGAGCTGCATGCAATGGGTTGGCAGAAAAGTCGAGGAATTCCATCACCGATCATGAAACCTGAACAAAAGGAGCGAAGGTTGAACTGGTGCTTACAGCATAGAAATTTTAACTGGGACAATGTGATTTTCTCAGATGAAAGTTCTGTGTGGCTGTTTCCTAATACACTGACATTCTGGACCAAACAAACTGAAAAACCTTAGTATCAGCGCCCAAAGTACAGTCCGAAATTTAATGTGTGGGGTGGCATATCTGTGTTAGGGGAAACGCTCCTCTGTGTATTTGAAGGGAATATGAACAGTGAGCGGTACACAGATATTCTCAAGGGACATTTACTTCCATCTGCTCACGTGTTCTATGGAAAGTTTTGGATTTCCAGCAGGACAACGACCCAAAACATCGTTCAAAGCATTCAGGCCTGGTTTCGGACCCAAAATATGACATTATTAGATTGGCCAAGCTATAGTCCTGACCTCAATCCAATAGAAAATGTTTGGGGACTTATGAAGGAAAGTGTCAATAAGAAAAATCTGACAAATATTGCTGAAATGAAAACTTCTTTGATCAGTAGTATGCCCCGCCGCATTGCTGCCCATGGTGACTTGACAAAATACTAACTGTTCACCTGTCTTTGAATCTGGAGTTATGTTCTGCTAATATTCACATTAAATACGTGAATAATGAGTGATAAAAGAAATTAAAAAATGTACAATCTTTAAATTCTCAATAATTTCTGGTTGTACTGTAATGCATGTAATCCCAAATTACCCCCCAAAAGTCATCAATTACTTAATGAATAAATATATAATTTAAATGAATAAATCAATTCACACAATATGTATAAAATCAACAAAGTAACAATACATTACGCACCTGTTTCTTTGGATAGCTCTCAAATTCAATCCAAAGTTTGATGAAGTAATCCTGTGTCTACGTACGACAGACCACATAGGATTGCTTCTGAGGTAGCTGATGCTATGGTCTTCACTTTCTCTGGTGAAAGGAGAAGGGTCTTAGCCAAAATGTCCCCTTACACAATGCTTGGATATATCCCGCACTCATAATAACATCCTCAACAGGACCAACGCATGGAATTTTTTCTTCGGCTCTGGTGAGAGTATCCAATGCAAAGCTGAAAGGGGAAATGAAATTAATAAATGTGGACTTTCAATTAAAACTGGTAGATGTTAGTTGATAACAAAGAAATATTTCCGACTTGTTAAATCATTGTTCATGTTGATTGTTATCATTAAGTATAATAATTGCAATTATGATTACGCAATTACGCAAACACCGAATGGTAGAGCGAGTCTCTGATTGGATAATATAGTTGCACGATAAAAGAGGTGGGAATAATAGAAGACGCTATCCAATCAGACACTCGCTCTACTATTCCGTGCGGGTCTGTAGCCTGAGATTTGTTTACTTCCGGGCATATGTCCTGACTTCGTGCGAGTATGGATGGCAAAATTATTGAAAGCTTTAAATGGGAATAAAATCACCAGGTTTGTGATACACAAGGTACTTTACAGAGGTCACTGAATATAAATTATGCAGTTTATTCAACGGTCAAAGCGATGGAAGCGTTTGTCAGACCGAAACAGAGCCGAGTCGAGCCGGGCCGCCATTTTGTTTCGATTTACTGACACACCTTTCTTATATCTTATACATATAGATCTAGGTCATACTTATAAATATATCAGAGGCGGGCGCCTATGGTTTCTTCAGCCAGCTGCACTTTACATCAGTCTTGTTTGCACGCTTGTATCTACAAAGTTAAAGTGAAAATAACAACTCTAAGAAATAATCTGAATTATTTTGTTGTTTACATGTCATTATGACAGCTAAAATTTGATTGACATATAAATGCTTAAGTTCATAAAAGAATACACCTGAGTGTAATAATGGTTCTGTCACTGTTAGCGTGATATAAGGCTTTCACAAGTAATATAACTAGTATATTTTTCAACAAATATTATTAAAATACTGCACCATTTAAAAGAAATATTCTTGACAAATGAACACACATAACTTCAATCACGCACCCAAACAGGAGAACAGCGGCGACATGGTGGCAATAGAAATTACCCATTGGACAGTCACACCTGAGGTGTGTTCAGAACCGCAAGTGCCAGCGAACGCTAGCGAGCGCTTGATCCTGAACGCCCGTGTCCGCTCGAGCGCCCGCCCGCGAACCATTCTCACAGCTGCCTTGCCAAGCGAACCAAGATGGCGATCATGTTTAATATCATTCGTCACCACTCGCCTCTTTCCGTAACCTCCAAAGAGAAGACATGGAGGATATTTTGTTAATGTTGTCAAATAACATGTATATGTCATCAAGTGGTCTGAAAAAGTTGATATGTTCACGAGTTGCGTAACCATTGACAACATTAACAAAATATTCTATTTATTATATTTTGATCATTGTTTATAAATGATCGCGACATCGATTTCGTAGTTCGCGTTTCGTAGTTCCAGGCAAAAGTGATATTCTACTCAGTGAAAATGACAATACCATTTTTATTTTCACCAATATTTACAGTATTTCACCCTTAAGATTATAATAAAGAAGCTATTCGGCTTGTCCCGGAACAACACGAGTTGGTCACGAATGGCTTATTCGTTGGTTTCACATTAATTTTCGACTCGCTGTGCGCATGCAAAGCAAAAATCAAAGCAAAAATCAAAACAAATATATGGTTTTATGTCGAATTTAACTGATCTCAGTTCATTTATGAATGGAAGGGACCGGAATTAGTTAAATAAATAGCTTAACGTTTGTTAACAAGCTCTTGTATAAACACATCTCACCACCACCCGTCCACTGTCCTTCCTGCACATCCCCTTCTCACAAGTTAAAAAACACATCTCTGATGCAATGCCACCAAAATAGGACATCAATTATTGAAAAGCATAGGCAAATGGATGTATGTACTCAACTATGAACAGTTGTCACGCGTAAATAATATTCATACAGCATTTATTTAGACCAAACCGGAAGTTACCCAGTGTATATTTTTACATGCTCTACGCAAGCGCACAGAGAGTCGAAAATTAATGTGAAACCAACGAATTGTAACCAAGCGTCCGTTCAGCCTCAGGGCCGATGCGAGCGCTCGCGGGAGGCAATCGCACGGGCGCTCGCGGTTCTGAACACGCCTCAGGTCACGTCCGTCCCATAGAGGTCACTTAGTTCAATCTATAAGTCAACAGGGTAAGAGTTCCGCCCGTACCCCCTCTCAAAACCTAGATTATGAACTGTCACTCATAAAACACACTAAATATACGGGCAATAAAGTGTACAGGGTCTAAAAAACAATACACGAGGTTCAATAACTGCCGGTTGTGTATTCAGCCTCGGGAATCGAACGCGAGTCAGTTTACGTAGCTGTATGCGTACCTAAGCTGGGCCCCGTATCGCATATCGCAATATGTATTCGGATAGGTGCAGTAGAAAATCATAACGGCGGGTGTGAGTGGATGGTAACTGCCGTTTGATACACCACCACCGGTTTTCGATAAGGTTTGAGCATGCACCGGTGGTGGGATCTGCAAATAATAAAACAAACATTACATCAAATGGCTGATTTTAGTTGCATGTCATTACATGATGATATCGTAAAGTGTATATATTTACCTTTGAAGTTTTCGGAATGGTTTACCGTACTATGGGTATAACCCAGGTCAGACAGTCCGTCGTAAGCCTTCCAACAGTCTGTGATTATATGACTACCCCCCACAACTTTCCTACAAATAAGATCAAGTAATGTCCGTCGGTCAGGAGTCTCTACGGGAATAAGAAAGAACTGTCGAGTCTCCCTACAAATACCACCCAAAACCCACTGACCCTCTACCATCCTACCTCTGTGATACTTATGTTTCCCAAACTTACTTTCATCAATTTCCACTGTCAAGCCAGCCCCACCTATTCTGTCCGAACCATTCATTTCCACCATCGCAGAGCATACCTCTCTGCAATACATGAAATAGTCCGATACCGTTTCTCTGATTGTGTCTGCATTTTAGACATTTTATGTGCAAAGCAGTAGGTGAGCAAAACAGTTTTTCTCAGTGACAAATTGGACCCAGAAAACCACGTACCCCTCCGTGCTGGAACCTGATTTTTGTTACTTTTTTTACATACTTTGCGGTTACACTGGAAACGGTAGTCAGGCACCTTACCCTTGCGATCAATTGCATACGTGCGACTTAGAACTTGCTGACAGTTAGGACAAGTTGCTTGAGTAGGTAACACCCTGTACCGCTGACAAAAAGAAATAGTGCTCTCGGTGCTTCCTAAATGTGAAATTGGAAAAAAAAGATTCATGGGAGGGGGCTGTTTAGCATTGGAACGTGTGACAACCCGCGGTGCGGGGGCAGTGTTACGAGGGGGTGTGGGGTGAGAGACGGGATCAACAGCTGAAGGTGTGGGAGAGCGTGGTGGTGAGAGAGACTGGAAAGGGTCTGCAGGAGTTAGGTGCAGGTGGTTTTTTTTACACTTACGGGGACGGCTTGTTTCAGATGGGTTAAGAGGGTTATCGGGTGAAGAAGTTACAAAGCGAGCGGGACGTTTAATAGTGCGTTTAGGGCGTGCTGGAACGGGAGGAGACGACGTACTAGGGAGTGCAATAGGATGGACGGGAGCAGTGTTAGTATTGTTACTGCTGGTGTTAATATTTTGGGTAAGTAAAAAAGATAAACCTGTGAGTACTCAACAACGTCTCCCTAGCGCCTTTTTCAAGATGGCGGCACTTCCGGTCTTGCGATCCAAGATGGCGGCACTTCCGGTCTTGCGATCCAAGATGGCCTCAGACCACAATTATTTTCCCTATTGGCTATGTACAGTTACATGCCAGTCTACCATAATAAATATCGGTCGTAGGCTGTTTTCCTGTTGCATGCTGACCAACCTGCCACTTGTGACTTAACCAGCAAAATATCGGCCTGGGTCGACCACCTCAATTTTGCTGTATCCACTGTCAACTATGGTCACCGGAGGTTTCGAGCCGGAAACACACTAAACAACCTTGAACTTTGGGTCAAATCATGGAAGGCTGGTGCCAATACCATGTGCAGATTGTGGAACAAAAAATTTTTGCAATAAAGTACAATGTCTCACCTTTCATTTAAGCTACCACAAATCACCCTGAGAAAATTAGCACAGACAGAACAGCCCATTTAAACAAGGCACTATATTCTCCTATTTTGCTTCCTGGTCATGGTAAAAGTAAAGGGGGGTAACTGTGGTCTGAGGCCTATCAGGACTAAAAGAAATCTGCAAATTAAATAAAACTTCATCAATACTAAGACCAGACACTATGTAAGGCTCACAAAAATTTTGAAAGCCCTCACTCATACACAACTTGACTTATACCCCTTGCAAATCATGCTGTACCTCTGGCATTTGAGTGTTCACTTTTGGCATGAATTCATTTGAAATACAATTCTATTTTGTATATAACTCCATAACCAAAAGGAAATTGACCAAAACATCAAGTGTCCCTGTTTTGTTACTGCATATACTATCTAAATACACCAGTTCAGTCTGGTAAAGCATTTTTTTCAATTTTTTGTTTATTTTTATATACATACATGCATTTTATACTAAAATAATTCCATTAAAGTTCATATTTAAAAATAAATTAAAAAATGAAACTGTTAAATTTATATTCATTAGAAAGCCCTATCTTTTCTCAATAAATTGATTGGCAGCTCAAGAAGCTGTGTACAGCCAGTCAAGTGCAGCGAGTCACCGGGCGTCACCACTCTCACCAGGCCAAAGCCAAAGTGTCAATCTGTGTGTATAGCGCAACGGCATTATGACGTCATAATGGTTTACAGTTATGACGTCATAATGCTAATACCCTATGACGTCATAATTGTAAACCATTATGATGTCATGCAGCTTGCAGTAAGCTGAGAATCATCACACTGTACACAGTTTCTATCATTAGTTCAGTTGAGGACAATCACCATGAAAGGTGACCGCAAGCGAATAAAGTCACATTTCAGCCAAGGCCATACTCCCTGGAACAAAGATCTCACCCTTGAATCAGAAGAGTGTGAAAGTGCCTCTCCACCCAAGATACCCAGGACTGTGACTAGGTTCAGTGCAAAAGACTTCTCCCTGGTCACCAAGTCAAGGCTGGTTGGAACTCAGCTGTCAACGCCTGACTGCGAAGGTATATCTACTTCAGTGATGCTTCTGCGTCCTACTTCAGCCAGCAAGCTTGACCTGAAACAAGAGTATAGCAAACATGACTTGCAGGGTATGCGACTAGTCGACATTGAAATGGTGGCTGAAGCATGGAACACAGCTCTGCGGCTGCATCGCTCAACATCAACTAACTGTGATGACCCTCAGCTGCACATAGCCAAGGAGAGAAAATGGGGTATGTGTTGGAAAATAACACTGAAATGTGTCATGTGTGACTTTGTAGCACCCGAAATGAAATTGTACAAGGAAATCCCGACGGGTAAACCTGGACCAAACCCAGCAGCACCTAACGTCGGACTTGCCTTGGGTCTACAAAACACACCCATAGGAAATAAGAGAGCGAGGCTGATTATGGCCAACATGGACATTCCACCTCCATGCAGGAGCAGTATGCAAAGGACCTCAAACAAGGTGGCTAAGGTTGTAACTGAACTTAAGACTAAGGATATGGCTGAAAAGGTGGAATTAGTGAAGGATGTTAATCGCAAGAGGGGTACAAAGCCATGTGAAGTGAACATTGCAATGGATGGCCGATACAACTCGA